TTTTGGCATGTCGATGTGGTACTGATCAGTGCCGCACTCTAACACAAAATTCAGCATAAACAACCATAATAAAGAACTAATTAAATTGATTAAATAAATTCTCAGTGCGGCACCGATTTTTGCTAGTGCGGCACCCATGCGGCACTGATTTTTACCAGTACGGCACTCTTTCAGCAGAAATATATCGGCACCGGTGCGCACGGGTGCCAATCGGCACTGGTTCAGCACTTGCCTGGCACGGGTGCGCACCGGTGCCAACCAGTGCCAGTGACCGATGGCATGCCATGCGCACCGGTGCGCACTGCCAGTGCCGCACTGATTTTTACCAGTGCCGCACTGGAATTTTTTTTATAGGGAAGTTCACGATGAACAGCTGCCATGATTGCATCATCAACCTCAGACGAATTTGCAAAAACGAGAGCATACTTGGTTTGGACAATTAACGATGACTGTTCAAACGATGCCTGTGGGCGAAACAATTTATGTTTAGCATATTTTGTAACTCTTGTGCATGTTTTTCGCTTATGGGTATCCGTGATATTCTGACAAACAAGTGATCGAAAATAAAATTAAGTTCTTGCTCTTACGCTCAAAATAATTTAGAACTTCGAATTTTTTAGGGGTTCATGAGCGATTTCAAAATAGATCAGTATGATGAATTGAGAAAAACTTCAACAAGAATCTTTGTACTCCATTACATGTAAATTTGTGACTGATAGTTGTATTAATAATGTGTGTTGGGAGTTTATTCTATTTAACTACGATAATTTATTCTAAACTAACTACAGTAGACGAAAAAACACAGCAGTATCTGTATAAATGTTTCAAATAATTTTAATTAATTTTTTGTACACAAGCAGACTTATAAAAAATATACAACAAAATATACATACATACTAAAAGGTTTTATAGAGTCTCAAAAATTAGTCCATTTCATATACCTCATCCAAAAAACATATGGAAGAAAAATTTTCATCCTCACAAGTGTATAAAATGCAAGATGACAGTTTGAGTTTATTGTGGAGACTAATGCTAAGAATGTATCCAGTTGTTAATTATGTGACCAGTTGTAATACTGATCAACTTGTACAACAGCAGTTTTTGTCGCACAAAAGTTCATTCCAAAGCAGAACGTCTTTTTAATGAGCACCAGCAGTAAACTGATGCAATTAAAAGCACAAAAATCAATATCATTGTAGAACAAACAGCCAAAATAGTGAGAAAAACCTTTAGGAAGCTTGGTTTTATATTGATATCTTTTAATATTCTTTCATTGGCATCCAAAAGTGCATGAGTATCAGTCAGATTTTTTAAGTTTTCAGCATGGTTAGCAGAATTTAATTGAGCTATGCGATTTATGCTGGAGTTAAATGCCATTATTTGACCTATTTCCGGATAGCCTACTAAGCGGTGGTGTTCGAAGTATACTTTTTGATTTATAACACCGATTTGTTTTACGTTATCGCAATAATTTCCACTATCAAATGTAAAATCACCACAGTTAATCGTTTGCTCACAATTTGATCGTATTATGGCCATGTCACTTACGTTACTGAAACTGTTCTATTTTCTGATGATTGACCACTGGCAGGCATTTTGCTCTTACGAAATTCATATTTACCTTTGCAATCTAACTCTTTATTCGTCGATAAAATCCATAAATTCGGTTCTAAATGTCTGCTATAAGGAGAATTTAAGGATATTTCTTCTGTTTCACAATACACACATACAATTGCCGTCATTAGGTTCATTCTCGCTATTTCGGCCGTGTTGAGTGCCATATTCATAATAATAGTAACCGTCCTCTGATAATCCGAACATCTCCGGCAAGTTCTTTATTTGTCGTGCTTTCTGCTCTGCAGGTGTAAACTGGGGTATATTCACCAATCTAAAAAAAATCCATTTCATTTTGTACCTTAAAGAGCAATTCACGACTTTTGTGGATTATATGAAAAATATGAATTTATGAATTTATTATCGTACTTGGTTTCGAGCCATAGATTTTGCACTTATAAAGTAATTAGTAACGATAAAATTTCCAATATATTTTGCTAAAATCCATTTAACGTATTCATAGAGGATTCCCGTCGATCAGATATGCACCGGTATCAGTATACTGGGTGCCCAAATAATTTGCTGACCAAATAGTCACAGCAATATGTTGTAGCCTGAGGGGCCTTGTAGCAGAATACTTTACTACTGACAAAATCATTAATTAATTTTCATAAATTATTTACCGAGCTCATTTGTAACTTGTTAGAGTATAAATTAATTTCCAAACTCAAAACTCTCATTTATATAAATAAAATATAATTTTATTACAAGTGAGCTCATTTCTCTCATTTTAAAGCCAACTAAACACATCGAGCGCACATATCGCTCTTTTCCGAGCTTTATTATTTTACCCAAATATTTATTCACTGTTGTATATAAAAAAAGAAAGATAGTGACAATCAACAGACACTATTTTGTATTTTCTCATCATTATTTAGTATATTCATATTTTACTTAAGGACCCCGTACATCCGATCTTGACGAAACTTGTTTTATCTTAAACTAGACACCTAACTACATGGACTGACGCCGATTGTTCAATTAAGTCTTTGTTGGTTTTCCAGGCAACCAACAACCTTCAAAACCCGAAAAATCCTTCCGAGTTTTCTAAAAATCTTCAATTTGACAGAAAACTAAGACCTAATTCAAAAATCGGCGTCTGTCAATCCATGTAGTTTCTTTTCCTCTTTTAAACAAAAAAAGGATAAACTCTCTACGACAAACCGCTATAAAAAATCTTGGGAAATCCTTCAGGTGTAATTCTTATATAGAGAAAACGCTGTATTATAATACAGCGTTTATAAACGCTTTATGAAATACTCAATTTTAGAACTCCTAGGATGCCTGTAACTTTTTGATGCAAGGTCATACAGAGTTGTGCGAGGTCTTATTTTGATCAGAAAAGCTTGCTCTACAAACCTGTGTGTTTAGAAAAATTTTAGTTGCATAAGTAACCAGGAAAAACTATTATTTGAAGACCCGGTTTTCGAAGGTCCTAGAAAACTTGCTCAAAATCCGTGAAAAACCACTTTTGTAATCAAAAGCGATACAGATTCTGAAAGTAGACACTTCGGCCTATCTTTCCATGTACGTATCTCAAAACCGATTTTTTGACCGAAAATCACCATTCTGCTGGGGACGGGTCTTAATTAATTGTTTCATCATTAATAATGAAATTTCAATAGTCGTCATAGGGGAAGAGATTATCGTGCATTGTTACTGTCACAAAGGTCTATCTCTATTAGTGTGAAAATTCCGAAAATTATGATAAGGATTAAAGCATATAGCGATGTAGCAGACAAACAAAATTCAGTCAAAGATTTTGCTACAGCTGATTGAAATTAAGTCAAGCAAATTTCGGTAAATTTATCGGTCTGTAGACCTTTCCAGATGTTAACTTCCGCGTTACAGTTAGTCTGCATCTGATTACCATTGAACAAGATATATGAGCAGAAAACGAGTCAGGGACAAGCAAGAAGAAAAAAATATATAAACGACGAAGAAAGTAAAAACTAGACTATTTAGAAAATTTCTCTCCTACCATCAACACTTTTCCTTACGTTTTCTGTGAGATCTTTTGTATAGTTAGTCCAATTTTTTTTCATTTTATTTGGGAGTCTTAGGACTTAAATTTGGTTGTACATTCAGTTGATATGGTCATATCTTTTCAACTAGCAGTCCTTACTACACTTTCCTTTTGTTCTGTTGCAACTTTTCTTTTGTTCAAGATTTCTACTTCGGGGAATGTAAGAGAATAAATTTCTTTCTTTCTGTTGACCACATGCATTTCATCTATATCGTTAGAATACGTACTCATTGAAGTCTATTTTTTGATGAACTGTTGTCCGTTTGGACTTTCTGCAAATTTCTGTACAACTGTATTCTACGCCAAAACAAAATGTTTACATTAGCAGTAGTTACATCAATTACTGTCGTATTCGTTACCATCTTATGGTTTATTAAGAGACACGTTAGTTTAGAATTATTCTGTTCATTTATTGTTTCTCGTACAAAACAACGCCGATTGCCTAAAAGTCCGAAATGTATAGTACTCATCCGTCATGGTGAGAGTCAAGGCAGTCAGATACAAATATCTATTCAACTGTACTGGATCATGCTATTGCGTTAGCACAATGTGGTGAACAACAAGCACGTGTTTTTAAACGGAAGTGTTTTTAATGGAAAACCTCCAAGAAAAGAGCGATAAAACGCTAATTTTGGCGCGTTTGGCAATGTTTCTTTTTCAAAAAGGTTCCAAAAACCCAGTAAAAAGCTATAAAAGCTTTAAAAACCAACAGAAAACACTTTAGTTTTTGAAAAGATTTTCTAGAAGCCTTCTAAACTGTAGGAATGGTTTCTACTAGAGCCAAAGTTTTACTAGGCTAAACGATCCTCTTTCGATTGCTGAAAGTTGCAAGTATCGTTCTTCTTGTCCTTGAACGATATTAATGGTTGATTTGTTCACAACACGTTGTATATTACAGCGTTTCTGACTACCATGTTCGAGAAGAAATGTGATCATATTATTATTATCGTTGAATATCCAATGGTGAAGGACATTGTTCATTACCACCATTTACATTTGCACCACAAACTTGAATTAAATACTTTGAGAGCTCTAGATCATTGTTAACTACAGTATAGTGTAAACATGTGTCACCATCATTGTCCTTTAGAAAAACGAAAAAATTATTCAGTTGGATATATGAAAAGCACGTGTATATACCTGCTAATTTATGTGACTAGGATAGTGTTTGTGTAAAAATTGAACACATTTTAGCGATCTTTTGAACGTAGCCAACATAAATGGTGTAATACCTAAAGATCGAATACATAGAGTCAAAACGTTTTTCAAATCTGAAACTTGACATTTTTATTTACCATGATTTTCTACTATGTATAGTGCATTCACACAGTTTTCGTGCACTTGCTTTACCATATTATCTGGTAAAGCTTTTACGTTAGCATGGAAGGGTAGTGTTAAGGCTTTCAGCATTTCTACATCATCTCGTTCGCATGCATAATGTGCTGCTGTTAATCCCGATGTGTCTTGTACACAAGGATCCACACCACGCATTAGAAATAGTCGTATCCATACATATGCTAAATTATATTGAACATCCATATATAAAAGTCTAAAGAATTAAAAATAAATTCAACTAAAATATATTTTCATTTTCATCGAACTTACTTGATTTAATTAAATGAATTTTTCATTGTTACAATTTTAGCATGATGTATTTCGAATGTTTTCCGAAGTACAGCAAAATTACCATGTGTAGTGTACTCAAATATTTGATTAGAATCAGATGATATCACCAATAGTGTACCGACTACACTTTGATCATACTGTTTCTTATTAGATTGTTTTTCTAATGGCACTGATGAGCATGTTTTGGTATTTAATTCTCGTTTTTCGTCTATTGCTAATTGGTTAATAAAATCTATTGATGCATCCTCTAAAGTTTTAATCTCGTTTTCTTCTTCATGACCTTTTGAAAGTAAAGGATGCGAAGAACGATGTTGTTTTGACGTTGTTGTCTCGTTTTGCTCGACTAGCTTCGGCTGCTCGCTTTGTTCTGACATTCCACTAATACACTCCAAGAGCCATTGACTTGTTGCCGCTTATTCTCTTTCAGAACATTTTTACGCACCCTGTACACTACTACATTGTATAGGATCGTCGAATTGTACAGTACAATTCGACGATCCTATACAATGTAGTAGTGTACAGGGTGCGTAAAAATGTTTTTCCAGGGGGGAAGTCTATGCTAACAAACAGCAGTCATAATGAATTTTATACCAAATGAAAGCGCGGAAAAAATGTGTTCTTCTGATACTAAATTGTAAGGATTCGAAAAATATTTTTATAACAAGGACAGCAAATCTCTGAAAAAACTGTACCAAAAGTAGTCTTTTAGAGAACATAACTCTATGATTTTACACAATAACCTTAATGAATCTTATACCAAATGAAAGC